AGGGCAAACATAGTTACTTTTGTCGTCATCCCTATTTCTGACCTTATTTTCATAAAATCATAGTTTAAATATAATCTTAATGAGCCCTATATTTATTTATTTAAATTCTCTTGGGTACCCTTCACTAATACAAATCTGAGTCAGCTTGTCCAAATTCTCCTTCTAGTACTCAGTGTCCGTTAGTCTTAAGCCCCTGATGATCAAACTCCTCAATATTCCCATCTTAATTTTGTAGTTGCAATGAAACTGGAAATTGAATACCATTTCCCATGCGATTTTTTTAATGAATTCATAAATTTCATAAAATAACTTGATGAACGAATTAAATTCACAATCGAGGTAGGGGAAAATGTGCAGGATGTTGAAGTTATTCATTTCAACGGGATACTTAAAAGAAGATTATTAGGAACTAAATCACGTGTATGAATTAGCCTAAAAGACTAGTGTATAATAAAGTCATAAATTTGACATTAGAGATAGAAGAGCGAAAGATGCTTTTCAGGTATCCCTGTTGCCCTGATCAACTTGAGAAAACGAGGTCCAACCAACGATATACAAATAAAGGAGCCTGTGACCTAATAAAAGGTAACACCATCTCAGTCTTCATTTCTACGACATCAACGTTTCTCCAACATCAATCTATTAAGAGATTCTTCAAAGCACATTTTTTCCACATATGCTTTAGTTTGTTATAAATCTATTCCATCATATATCAAATTAGTGTACGATTATTTCCTTAATTTCCTTCGCATCCATAGGGTGTGTCTCAATTCTTAATGGTACATCTGTCCCCTAAATTTTTTTTGCAATCCAGATTATTAATGGATGATCTTTATTTTTCTTCATAACCTATCTCTTGTAAGACACCAGATTATAAACCAGTTTTTATTTCACGTTGCTTGCAAGAACTTTATATATCAGACAAAGGTAGGAAACTGAGGCCTAGTTGATCTATTATCTAAATTCTAATCTACTAATCTCTTTTTTTCTTCTATTTATCTATCCTTTAATATATTTAGCTCAATTACTTGGACCACATGACCAGCCACCTGATCTAGGTTCTTCACTCGTCTTCGCGGTTCCTGTTGACACAGTTCGCAGTCTGGAAGCTAAGCTCGTTCTCGCTCAACGAGCCAATCACGAGGTTCATGTCCGCGAGCGTCTCCGTCTCCTCCGCTTTCTAGTAGTCGAGGGTCAATTACGACTAAGTCTACCAGCTCTTCAAGCCGTTTGGACGAGTCTGCTTGGTGGCTCCGGCTACCGACGCAAATTTATTAACCATAATCAACAGCCAACTTCTCATTCCACGAAAATTGTCGGGGATTCTTCTTTTCCTAAAATATCTATGACGCGAAACGAGGCGTCTTCCATAATTGATCACAGAGAGTTTTCTGGATCGTTGGATGAAAAGATGAATACTCTGAAGGAAGAGAAGTGCAGTGAGAAACGTCATATTGAAGAGGAGCTGGTAGAATATAAAGGTGTAGATGATATGCAAGTCTTTACCGTCCTTGATCAGATAAAGCCAGAAAGGGGAGATTCATACCAGGAA